ACGATCATTATCATGTGTTTCTTTCAGCTCTCCACTATTGATTTCTCTGCAAAAATCGACATCACCAAGATCCGACAACTCAAGCTGGATGACATCAGAAGATCATATTTTTTTGTATCCGCGTTAGAGTGTGCGCCACACGAGACTGCCTGCATATACCCAACTGGCACTGATTTATTTGTTCAGGCCAAATTACAGCATATCCAATTTTTTTAAGTTTAAGATGAAATGGCTAGTTTGAAGTGTATAATTATAAATAATGAACTGATCAGTATAACGTTGCTTCACTCTTTCCTTGACTGTACATCTTCTTTAGGTATTTTTTATAATAACAGCTTTCTTCGGCACAGGGAACATTGCTTCCATTAACAGGTATGTGCACTTCGACACACAATATATATACTGTGTGTGGGTGAGTGAATGGCAGGAACTTGTGTTTGTACGAAGGAGGGGGTATGTGGCTATACAAGGTTCTGCTTGAGTGATGTAAATGTCTGGTTTGAGTCTCACTGATCTATATGGTTTTTTTTAATTATTAGCAAACTATCATTTGAATACAAGAACAAAACAAGTGATCTGTGAAGAATTACCATGTACTTTATTTGCATTGTCTAGACCAGCTTGTCTCTTAAGTCATGTATGCCATTGTACCACATACTGTTACATACTGTTAATTTCTCAACCGTCACTTCCTCCGCTCCTCTGCTTCTTTCTCCTTTTCACAGTTTTGACCCAGCATCTGTTTATTGTTTCCTCACGGTCTTCAACCCCTTCATCATGGGAGGGTTGATGATGTGGAAGGTACCGTATTTGAAACACTTTCTTTTTATGGTATACGCCATGTATCTGCATGTTTCCCTCTCCGACCTTTCTTTCAGTTCTAGAAATCTGTTTCCGAAAAAGGAAAGTAATCTTGCAGATTATGACTAGTCTTAATAGTCAAATGATACATCTGTCTGGGAAATATGAGTAATAATACAAATATGTTTTAACCTGTTTCTCATGTGTTGTCTTATATTGACTCTCTGCAACCATGTCCGTTCCACCAGCTGGCCTTTTTAGTGCAATGTTGAGCGCAAATTCTCTACATTGTCATTCACTTGTCCTTTTGTTCTTCCAGGTTATCATCCCATTCATTATAGTAATGTGTACATTCGAGACCATCCAAGTTGCAACACAGCTCTCGTCAAGAAGGTAACCCATCTACCACAGGTCTGGTGTCAGGTCTGTGTGTGCCTCACCTGCCAACAACCATGTGCTATTTAGACACATAATGTCTTTCTTTCTTTTCTGTGTGTGGCAGTCTCGTTGTATGTGATGAGTGTCAATCTACTGTCCAATCTCTTTTGTCTGTTATTCTAATTTTCCAGTTTATTCCTCATTGTCCTGGTCATCTCCGACTTGATGGCTCTGGTAAGGCATTTCCTGTGAGTTACAGAGGTTCTGGTTGAATATTGGGTTAAAGATGCACTGTGACTGTGATTTTTCTCAAAGGATTTTTCTCTTACCTTTTCCTGTTAAGTTGACTCGATGTGAACCTTGCACAATACATTTTTAACTCCCTTTTCCTCTCCTCAGCACTTTTTCTTCCTGGTGCAGGACTATGGCAGCTGGCTGGACATTGGCACAAGGTAATTTAACTTGGAGATACAATGTTTGTATGTCTTAATTATTTAATTAATTAACTACACTGTCCCTCCTACTTCTTTGTGGCTTCTTTTAGACACTCATTTAATGGCATCTGTGATGCTCGGACTTACACATGAACATGTTAAACATGTTTTGTTTTTTTTGTCTCTTGCAGCATTAGTCATTATGTGATAGTGATGTCGATGACCATCTTTCTGATGTTGCTCAGTGTAGTTACACATATCTTTACCTCACGAAGACTCATCCTGTGGAGGAGATTTAAGATGCACTTCCCCTAAATAAACATGTGTTTGTGTGTGCATGTGCATGCACACATACTAGATCAACCAAATGTTTAGTATTTATTTATTTTTTAAAAATGTTTTATTTAGTGTTTGTCTTATTAGTCTGGAGTTCATGAGATATGTGATATTGTTTTTGGACTCAATATACAGTGTAGTACTGTGCATAGTTATATGTCCTTATTAATCACATGCTACCATGGAGAATTACTTCAGGTTTACATTCTAAGTAGAAAATACACAGTTCCTCTAAACAGTTGTTGTTGTCCTTGTATAATTTTTTTGTTTATTTTTACCTCTGTGTCGTCATGTGATTTTTAAGTAATAAATACTTTGAAAGTAATCAAGACCCCTTCAATAATATTGCTTAAATAAATGGTTTCCAGAGTGGCCTAAGACGTTTGCACAGTACTGTTTACACTGTATTCTTTTGTATACTCAGTCTCTTGTTTCAGTCACATTTTTTTATGCATTAATCATTGATGAATTGACTAAGGCCACTTTGAATGTTTAACTGTGAATTATGCCTTTGCCAAGGGTGCTGATTTATGATCCACCAAAGAGTGGTAACTTGATGACTCTAGTCTGTAGTATGTAACTCTATTTCCTGTTGAGCTGCCTAAAAAGAATCCATATTTAGAGGGAAAAGGGATGCTATTTTGATTCATTGTGAATTATGTGCTAATAAAATGGAAGAAGTGGAATGAAAATGGGGACCTTTGTGTTGTACAACCATTAACATAATTAAACAGGTGCCAGTATAATTGTGTTTGTACATCATGGTAACTGTAGCCATGCTTAAAAAATGTAGGTGGGAAAGTAAAAGAGAATTCCCTGAATGTCCTTAAACCATTGCAGTCCAGGTGCACTTGCATTTAGATACTCTTTTATTTTTTTTATTTTTCAACCTGTCCTGCCCAGCAGCCTGGTATAGAGTATGATGAGCTGGAAACCATATTGTGCCAGATAGATTTTACTTTAACAAGAGAGTATTAATATACTCCTTTGTCTGTTTTATTATTTATTTAATTATGTATTGATTTGTCACCGGCCGGACAGGGGGGCAGACATGGAGATGGGGGAGCAGAAACATCGCACAGACAGCACAGCCTTGAGAGCTGGAATAATAACAATTAATTTAAATAAGTAACTGAAAGAAAAGCATCAGGAAGTACCAGAGACAACCTAAATTTGTTTGTGTCTGTGTGTGAGACTGTGTGTGTCTGTGTGCCTGTGGGTGAATGTGTGTACATGTGTGTGCGCATAAGCCTGTTAAAGAATGTAGTTAGTGAGTGTAGTCTGTCTGTAAATGGAATGCACCACATGACAACGCAACGCCGACGGAACCCAAGAGGCGTACACGCGGAAGAGCAGCGCCCGGACCGACTACGGCGCGCACTGCCCGAGCACTGCGATACCCAATGCCCGTCGCACCCGCAAATACCGGAAACATTTAGGCTGCCCGCGCAAATGTATTGTTTTGTGTTGGATGCATGTCATGGATTGTGAAGTGTTGTGTGGTGGAGTAAAGATAAGGTGTGTGGTAACTAAGGTGCAGTTAAAATTGGAGGGTAGTTGTTACACAGGTACCCCACAACTGTCAGGTAGTGGAGCTTCCCATCCCACATTGTTGTGAAGACATCTATGGTGAAATTAAGCCAATTTATTGATTTATTATCAAATTGTTTATCTTTAAACATCATCTGATGACAAACATCATCTGTCACCCTCTTCGGCAAACTGGAAGCATCATATTATTTTGAAATAATTTGATGATGTTATGAAGCGGCAGTTCTGAGCAGGATATTTTATTATAATTAAAGAATGAGATGTTTAGCGAAGTTTGCAGTGTTGCCAAAGTATTTCACTGTCTTTGCACATACATCACACAGAGCAACATTATTACCTTCACAGCTAAAATGCAGCCAGACGTGACTGCTTTTACAGTCGGCCATATTCAGTATTCAATCGCGGGAAATGTAAAGGGCTGCAGCGGCTCACTTCAGAGAAGCTCCCTGAAAGAGCCTTAGCGCAAGCATGACTTTGACAGGCATAAGGACAAGTAGTTCCTATCAACTGAGTAGTTAGACCATCCTGGTGACAGTAAGATAAAACACACACTCACTCCAAATTGCTGAGTTTAGATATCGATCCTTTTATATGAGTATCGATCCTATAGCAGGAAATGTTGGTATCAGAAATATCGATACTTTAGGATCGATCCGCACTATCTCTACTATCTCTAACCTGCAGCCTGCCCGCCCCCCAGAGTCCTAAGGGTGTATGTAGTGAGACATGACCAAAGGGGGGAAGGTGAAGGAAGTCATAGGGAGGCTAGAATGGTCCTCCCCACTGGGTCTAGATTCCTGACTGGCCCCATCATTCAGTCCCGTCCCCCACCCCCCTAAGCAGGAGGACGCCAGGCCCCTCCAGCCCAGGGCTTATAGGAAGAGCCCCTCTAGCGACAGCGACAACCCCGCCCAGCCCCAGGACGGCATTTAGATACTCTTTAGTAAATGACTGTAACTAGGAATGTAGAGATGTGCTGCAAAACCCCTGTGGTTAGTATGTTTTTTCCAAGCAAAGAGAACAACAAAAAAAACTTCTTCTGATGTGACATTGCTTTCCCAAGAGATCAACCCATAGGACATTACTGTGAATGCTGAAAATGGCAATAAATATGTTTATTTAAATTACATTATACATTTTCTGCTCCATTGCCGGCTCAAGGGTCAGCAACGTCCCTTCACTTAAGCTCTACCTGGAGTATATACACCCTACAACAGTGCTTGAAATAGTAAATCAACAGTTAAGTCAAGATCACAGCTATCATCACCACTTCCTCTGTCACTTCTCTTTTTTTGAATTAGCCAATACTTAGACTAGCCAGTGTAATGTACAGTAGTAGTCTACTTTAAATGCATGAGTATAATTTAAGTCATATTTGAATGGCATCTGAGATGTGAGATGCAGCTCAACACAAGACAAAACATGTCTCATGCAGAATATTATTGATTTTTGTTTTATATATATATATATATATATATATAGAGAGAGAGAGAGAGAGAGAGAGAGAGAAATGTTAAAAGTGACAGTTAAACTGATGAAGATTTATGCTTTCTTGGAATACAAAGTGATTAAGCTTAGTTGAATAAGATCCACACAACTCACATGACACGAGATATAAATAGTTAAAGGAACCTAGTTATTTACGTAAATAAAATAGAATAAGCTGTAGGTGCTAGCAGTGCATCTTCCTCTATCTAATCTATGGTAAACTTAGACATGCTTCTTCCGCCTAAACAGTACTCTGCATGTTGAAGTATTTGTTTTTAGATCTGAGGCAAATTCTACATCATTATGCTGTTTACTCAACTGGTAATATCATGGGATCGATGTAAAAGTTCATCTTTAATGGAAAACCAAAGCTTAAAGACATACTATACTGTGCACATAGGCACCAAACATCTTGAATTTCACTTTCCTCTAATCCCCTAATGAACAATTCTATAAGGCAGTTACACTGTGTATGGCACCATCATATTCTAATAGTTTGTATTTAAGTGAGCAGGTTCAAGCAGCCGTTTATAGGGGGGGGGGTGACCATAAGGAGGAAGCAACCAGTTTTGTGGTTGTGCTGACATGTCTGTGCAATCACCTCCTGTTTCTGACAGAGCACATTTGCACAAACACAAACACACACGCACACACACAATATGCAAAACTCGACAGTGGTTACTGACATCAGACACAGTATATTTTTATAACCTTAACTTCCACTGAAAATTGGCACAAATTCGCACACACACACACCTACACACCACACACACAGAAGCAAATGCGCACATGCCTCTGAGCAGAAACGGAGAGTCACACACATTGTTTTCTCAGACATAGAGCTTTCCCCATGCTCGCTGTCACATTGTGAAAACAATACTTTTGTTTGATGGAGATAATGTGGTGTAAAATAGAGGACATATACATCAGTTAATGCCTTCATTTCACACACGAGAGCACTCTGCAGCAAATTCTTCTTGGAATCAAAAGGTACGTAAGGCTACTGGTTTTGACTTTATGTATTAATTCGTGATGCAGGTTCCATTGCAGCATTGTTCTCTTGGTAACAACTAAACGGTGAACAATATATTTATTTCTAAACTTTGTAAGATTTAAACAGTGGAATCTTTCATTTTAGCTTGTTTAGTTTATTTTAGTCCTGTTCTGTGCTGTTAAACAAATTTGTAAACTTGTAACCACAGGAAGGCTTGCAAGACAGCATGTCAGACTAAAATTATATTCTTGTTTTGATCTGGATTATGTGAACAAATATGAGCAACATAATATTAGAAAGTATCATAAATATGTAAATGTAAAGTGTTGTTGTGCGTTGTTGAATTAGCCTGTTTTTACTGGCATGAATTTCCGTTTCTCTGTTTTTCTTTGTTTCTGTTACTCCTGTTTTTAATAGTCAAGTGTAGTTAATTTTACTTGGTTGCAGTGCCCACCAATTTTACAATCTTTATAGCATATGATAGCCTCTATCTTTAGACCTTTGATTTGATATGGAAAAATACCCCCATAAAGGCTTTCACAGGGGGAAACATTGAAAAAAAATAAATCCTTTCCTGATCTATTCCACCATCACTGTCTCTAATTCTTCAATTTCCTGTGTCCATTTCTCCCCTTTTCTCTCTGTGTCATATGTGCACCCTACTCTCTTCCCCCCTTTCATTCTCTATTTAAGATGGAAAACCATAGCCTGGTCTCCACGAAAAACTCAGAGCCACTGCCAGACAACAAAACTACGGAGTACTACCCAGCCCTACTGGCCATCTACTCTGTGGTTCTGGTCACGGGCACCATCAGCCTGAGCCTGATGGTGCACATCATGAAGTCCAGCACGACATCGATCACTTCCATCGCTGTACTTAACCTCATCTTCTCCCACTTCATCTTCCTTCTCACCGTGCCCTTCAGGATTTACTATTACGCGACTCAAGATTGGAACCTGAGTCAAGGGTGGTGTAAAATGGTCAGCAGCATGATCCACATCCACATGTACATGTCTTTTATCTTCTATGTGATCATCCTAATCACACGCCTGATGACATTCTACCACAAAACTGAGCAGGTGTCCCCCTTCCGCAGTATTCATGCACTCCTTGTCAGTGCTGTAGTGTGGATTGTGGTGCTCGTCGTGGTCCCTTGTGTAATCTACTATTCCTACGGCAAAATCACAAATAACAACAACACCAATTCAACAGAGTGCTTCAATTTTGGCAATGACATAGAATCTGCTACCAAGGTGCTCAACTACATCATAAGCACAGTGATCATAGTGGTGGCCTCTGTGCTGACAGCCCTCCAAGCCAATGTCCTAAGGGTTTTATACAGCAAGCATCGCCAAGGATGCACCTCTCAGCAGGACTTTGGGGCTCAGCTGAAGAGTCTGTGCTTTGCCCTCATCATGGTGGTCTGCTTCATCCCCTACCACATGTTCCGGCTGTATTACTTAGAACACATTAATGAACTGCAGGATGCCAATGAGCTGTTTCTGAGTCTGACCACTTTTAACTGTCTGGACATGCTCACCTTCTTGGGGAGGAGAACCTGCTACCTGCAAATAAAAAACTGTTGCTAGGATGTGTGTGAGAGGGGTCAAGAGACTTTGTCAGCTTCATTTTGAAACTTAATTTTACTTAACTGTTCTTTCTTGCCTTGGATTTGGAGTTTCTAATAAGAATATTGCTTATGTGCATCTCCCTAAAAGCCGACAATAGGATATAACATCTATTCAAAAGCTCATAAAAACAAGCATTAAGGTAGATTAAGGGAAACTTTAAAATGCACCATCTCCACTAACTTAACTTGAAAAGAATGGTGGGGTGGGTGAGTCCAAAGCTCCCAGGTTCTGTCAGATATACCAGGCTTTGTTTTATTAATCCTACTACTGTTGTGTCACCTGCATTTTTTGTGACTCATTAAGATGTTGTTCTTTTTAAAAATGTATTGCTTTTTACTGTTGTTTGATAGATTTTTTTTTGATTGAAAGTGCAGAGAGACAGAGAGAGAAGCAAAATATTGAGGGGGGTGGGGTGGGGTGGGGGGGCAATAGAACAAAGGTCCACAGTCAGATGGTTATGTGATATGTGTCTTAAGCAGGAGGCAGGGGCACCTCTTAAATTTGACATGGCTGGAAACTGACCTTTGCTTTTGATTCAAAAATGAATGAACTCTTGCCATCATCTGGTCTTTGTATCTACTACACAGGCTTCAAGCTCAAAATGCATAATGCGAAATTATGCCATTTTTAGGTTCCCTCTTTTTTCCATCCAAAATGTGACTAAATGCGAAAGACATGAGTAGAAATGAAAAAATAAATACATTTCACTGTATTTGCTAACACTTAACCCCAGTGTACTGTGCATAGATGGAGTGTCCAGCTCCACAGCTGAGATGAGAAATAAATTGTTACTTTTTCACCATTATTTTGTGAAACATTACCTCAAACCTCTTGGATCTCTTAACTTCTGCCCTCTGAGGTGGTGTTGGAGGCCCTGGCTGACATACACATACACACACACACACACACCTGGTGATCCTTTTCCTTTTGGTTTTTATAGCGCTGGGTTACTGTTTAACATCCCCACCCTACTTTGAGTTTGTTTAGTAAATCGATCTAATGACAGGGCTATGGTGGCGCCATCCAATGTGTTGCTCCATGAATTATAGGCTGCTCGGCTCTCCAACCTTCCCTTTTAATGTTGTCGAAGACCTTTTCTATATTCCCATTCTTAGTGAACTTAGACTAATGTCACACTGAGGGGCTGCTCACTACCGGAGTACAACAATACACCTGGATAAATGCACATCCCAGACGGAAAAAGAAAGACAGGTAAGTCAAACTCCTTCTGTGAAGTATGTTGTCATTGAAAAACAAAACATCCACATTGGCTGTAAGAATTATAAGGTGTGTTGTTGTTGTTGTGGAGGAAGTGAAGCTTACCTTTAGTAGATTCTCAAGGAAGTTTGGTAACATGCTCTGCTAAATCACGTGGTTTTGTATTTTGGTGGTAATATGGTGGCAATCTCCATTGACACACACTTCAATTCCTGCTATACTTCCGTAACCAGAGCTGGTGTACTTTTGAATTGTAGGATTGCATATACTGTAAGTGGTTGTGGAAGTCTGCTAGAACTTTCATGGAATTTTGTTTTGTGTATTTAATGACACAGCGTTCTCGACGCTCTGTCCACAGACAGCTTTTTGTGAAAACAGATAACATAGGCTCACTTTGTCATGCTTGGTGTGCTGTGTTTTTGTCCTCTGATGCACTACCACTGAAAGTACATAACACGCACGTAGTGTTTAATATAATCTCTGACTCTAGGATTGTTAAATGATTTATTACAATAATTCACTGTAATTAGAAATTATCATTCCCACCCCATACCTTTGTGAAGGTTGCAATGAGGAAATTTTGTTGAGATTAAGTCAGAGATTAGTCAATTGATATTACAGGAATTAGTTTGTGCTGTTGTAATGGACTTAATTGTGCAAAAACATGCTAAGACATTAGCAAGAAGAACAAAGGAGTATGACCCTCATTAAACGCCCTCAGGGACCATGGGCTTATGGAAAAATGTTGCTGCATGTAACTCTAATATTTAAAGAAACTGTCTGTTGTTGTTAGAAGTGTTGTTGACTTGTTCAAATGATTCTTTACTTCACATGTTTCTATTAATTTGCACAAATCCAGTATCATAGAAGTGGCTTAAAAACAACATGGTGACGCAACCCCCCCCCCCCCCCCGAAATAACCAGTTAATGTTTGTTCTGTCAAAATAAAAGGTGATCTCTTAGTAGCAGACCATGTATTTTTTTCCTGTTGTCTGGCTATCAGGAAGTTGTGGTTTACTAGAGTCGGTTGGCTGGCTGATGATCGTCTGTGACTATTAAAACCCCTAATCTAAATAGAACCGACAGCATTATGGCCAGTTCACACAGAGATAGCCTCTTAGCGCTGGGTTTTATGGCTTCAAAGAGCTGTTGGTTGCTAGGTGGAAGCAAAGTTTCCCAGTCATGTCCTGCTTCATTTTCTGCTGGAGAAGTTATTATTTCTATCAATGTATAATTCACTTTTTTTTTTTTATAATTTAAAAAATTATATTCACGTATAAAATTTCAAAATCAGTGAGCTTCTACATTAAGTTTTTGCCAGGAGAAGAGCAGAAAGGGCTGGAGATTCCTTGAAACTTACACTACAGGTTTGCATCCAAGAATGGCAGAATTCAGTTTTCAGGATATTAGTGTGGTGAACAAAGTTAGCAGCTTCATAAACAGCTGATCAGCTCCAGTTTTATGGACAATGGTATGATTTGTCAAGCATTCAAAGTGTAGTAGGAAAACCAGATTAAAGGTATTCATCATTATAAGACAATAAAAGACTGAATTTCTCAGTTGTCCTTGCACTGAGCAGTGGAGGGTGAGGCTAAAGACAGCCTTTTTAAAGCTCTGAACATGTCTATCAATAGCTATGGAGTAAAATGATTTTCACTTTTCTGAATATTGGGTTTTCTGATATTGTACCTATCTCCAAAGCCTCCAGCCTCTTGATTTCTTTTTGTAAACCATATCACATGACTGCCCTCTTACATGCAGTCCACGTCTTCACACATTCAAGCCTGGTTCATATTTTCTAAACCTGGTTTAATGCAGATATGGTTACATATATCTGATGATAAATTGAATCCAGTACATTCATGCTACAGTGCTCTGTGTCAGTCCTTTTGCGTGTTAGGTGATTATGAATGTGATCGTAAAAGAGTAAATTCTTCCTCGCTCTCTACAAACCTGATGAGTCAGGCGTCCTGACCTCACTGCCTGGTTAAAATGTAATCCCTCTATCACCCCCCTAGTCCCCCTTGTCTCTTGCTCTTTCTCTTTATGTCCAATAATTAATCTGTGATAATGTATGTGCTGATATACTGTGTCTACAGTGACAAAATATTGCCTTCTCATGCACTGTGGGTGCTTTTCTGACTGGCCCACTCTTTACTGTAGGGAATCAAATCTCTTCATTTACAGCCTTCCCTTTAAGCCACACAATAAGATTTAGTGCAATGAAATTCCCTATGCAAAATGTGTGGGTTGGGACATTTTAACTGATTTATGGTAGCAAATTAGTGTGTTTACTACATCACTTACCTGGATAAAGCCTTTTCACTTGTTTAACCCAAAAATCTACTGATCGACTCCAGACTGTCCAGAACTCAGCTGCCAGGCTTTTAACCAGAACAAAGAAATATGACCACATCACCCCTATTTTAGCTTCATCACACTGGCTCCCAGTATGTTTTAGAATTGACTTTAAATTTTTATTGATTACTTTTAAAGCTCTTCATTGCCTCTCGCCTTGTTATATTTCTGATCTAGTCCCATACACACCAGTATGTACCTTGAGATCCTCGGTCAGAGGTCTGTTGTCTGTTCCAGAGTCTCGACTGAAAACTAAAGGGGACAGAGCGTTTGCTGTCAGGGCCCCGAGGCTCTGGAACAGCCTGCCCGAGGAAATCAGGTCGGCTGAGTCGGTGAACTCTTTTAAGTCCCTTCTTAAAAGATACTTTTATAGGAGAGCCTTTCCCGATCTTATTTGATTTTATTTTATCCCTGTTTATTTTATTCTATTTTACTTATTTTATATTTATCTTGAACGTGTATTTTAGTCTTTTCAATGTTTTCTTGCTTTTATCTTGTATTGTTTTTGTATTATTGTCTTTTGGTTATTATTGTCTTTACACTTGTTAAAGCAATTTGTAACTTGTTTTTGAAAAGTGCTCTACAAATAAAGATTATTATTATTATTATTATTATTATTATTATTACTTCCCTGAAAGAGAAGGCAGCTCACTGACTAGTGTTTTGGTGCCTAAACCTAACCAAACTGTGACCGTTTCACAAAGTTAACCAAGTGTTTATTATTGTTACCATGACGACAAAGGTCCTGTACACTTGTCACTTGTACTCCCCAATAGTCATATATACTCACCAGCCACTTTATAAGGTATATCTTTTCAATTGCTTGTTAACACAAATAGATAATCAGCCAATCACATGGCAGTAACTCAATGCATTTGGGCATGTAGACATGGTCAAGACAAATTGCTGACGTTCAAACCGAGCATGAGAATGTGGAAGAAAGGGGATTTAAGTGATTTTGAACGTGTCATGGCTGTTGGTGCCAGACAGGCTGGTCTGAGTATTTCTGAAACTGCTGATCTACTGGGTTTTTCACGCATAACCATCTCTAGGGTTTACAGAGAGTGGTCTGAAAAGAAAATATCCAGTGAGCAGCAGTTGTGTGGACAAAAAAGCCTTGTTGATGTCAGAGGTCAGAGGAGAACGGGCAGACTGGTTGGAGATGACAGAAAGGCAACAGTAACTCAAATAACCACTCGTAACAACCAAGGTATGCAGAATACCATCTCTAAACGCACAATACGTTGAACTTTGAGGCAGATGGGCAACAGCAGCAGAAGATCAAACCAGACGCCACTCCTGTCAGCTAAGAACAGGAAACTGAGGATACAATTCACACAGGCTCACCAAAATGGGACAATAGAAGATTGAAAAAATGTAGCCTGCTCTGATGGTTCTCGATTTCAGCAGTCAAAAGTATGCCACAAAGGCAAAAGGGGGTCCAACCCGGTACTAGCAAGGTGTACCTAATAAAGTGGCCAGTGAATTCATTCATTTTAAATATACAGTAGACATATTTATATTTACTGATATGAACTCATAAAACAATGACAGTGCAACTGCAATAAATCCAGGATCTAAAATTAAACCCTAACAAATAAATTATTTAAAAATTACACACTAGAGTAATTTAAATATTCCATTAATTAAATAAAAATGCAGGTAACAACATCAATAGTGTAGTAAGTGAGGTTAATGCCATTTGAGATGTTTACATTATTGAATATGACACAATTTACTTAATTTAGAAACATGTAGAATAAAGTTTTATCAACAGAGGGTTGGATTTAAACCCGAGGACTGTGTTTATGGAAGAGTTAATGGAAGCTATCAGTGTTTTCCATTTCACTTTGTGTCTCTATAGATTATCTTCTGCTGAGGTGGTGGTGCTATTACTCGACTATTGAGTAACTCAATAGTCGACTATTGAGTAACTCAATAATCGAGTAAGAGCACTCACTTATTCGCTCACACACACTTTCATAAATGTATGTGCCTGTAAGAATAAACCCCCTGTCGTCCATGCAGATCCGCGCCTCCAAAATAAGATAAAATCTATACCATAGTAAAAAAACAACAAGAAAAAAACAGGTAGAAAAAAGATGCAGAGGGGGAGAGGGGAAACATCTCCTTCATCACAATCTATCCATCCATGTGATAAGAGGGAGAAGGACAGATAAGTAATGTGCAATAAGGTGAGAAGTCTTAGCCACAGCTCCTCCCCTCTCCTTATTCCTGGCCCAATCACATGAGATTATGGTTCTTTAATGCCAAGGATCTCCCCTGTCATGTCTGTAAGACTTAGATGAAGCAGAGACCAGCAGATAGGGGAAAAGAGAAAGAGAGACTTTAGAGTGAACTGGGACAAGAAGAGAGAAAAGAGGAAACGAAGACCAAGTTGAAACAGGAATGAAGTATCCTCCTGCTGCTCAGAGTAAAGCTCTGTTAGATATGGAAGTAGCCAACTACTGCGAAGGCCTGGACCCATCATACAGCACACTGGGCTTTGAGAATGCAGAGGTGCTCTATGGAGGAGGAGGTAAGTGTGTGTGCATGTAGTCACCTACACACACACGTACACACGCAAAGAAACCCATGTATAAACAAATACAAACATTAATTGAAGCACAAAACATCTGGTTTTTCAGCATGCATGTTGGACATGCTAACATACAGCATGACAGTAGACAGTTAAAACGGATACGGCATACACACACTTCTTCTTCATCCGGTATGAAGGGTACCTGCACAATGGCTTAATATAGACAAAGAAATGAGAGAAGCTTGGAATTGTGAATCTGATAAAGCCTCTTGATTAACATGATGTATCTTTTAAGGATGGTTTGGGGTGGTCTACTACCTCCGGAATGGGTGAGGTGTGCAAGTTTGCAAGACTAGATATGTACTGATAAAGTGAAGAGAGACCAGCTGGAGGCAAATTAGTTGCTATTTGCAGAAGAGGAAATCAGAAAGGGTTTGTTTTTACATAACAAACTCCGTGTGCCTAAATTAAGTGAGGGGGAAACTCACAACCTTTCAATGTTGGTCAGTAGTGCGTGTATCTGGTTGTCTAATTGTGGAAAATGAATTCCACTTGCCGATTGCTTGTATGTGGAGATGTCTGTGGTCTGCAGTCGTGAAGGAAAGAAAAGGGCTAGGTAGGGGTTGTAAAAGCATGAAACCACAATGTTAATAAAGCTGTTTAGGCAGGAATTGCAGGCATGTGTCATAAAGATATTTTATTGAAGAGCAAGCACCCATCTCAATGATACTCTGATGCCACCTCAGCATGTGAACAGAAACTTGGTGTACTCATCCTGCTTGGCACTGGTGTGGGAGCGACATCTGTGTGTGTGGGTGTGTGTTCATGCTATACTTATGTTGTGTTCTATTTGGTAGGTACAATGATGAATGTTTTTAGCTGATAGCTGATCATGATAACAATCCTGATGATTATGAAAATGGTGACAATGATTATGACAGTAAAAGTAAAGACATCAAGTGTAATGTTTTAAATGCCTGGTGACTGCCACTTATTCCTTCTCCTGATCTATGTTTTGCAGATACATATTCTGTATGGTACAAATCAAACACCACAAAAATGACTTTGCAGTTATACAAACCCCAACAAACCTCTGCAGTTATACTATGGAATATACAAAGAATACATTTACTAGAATAGTAAGATGCTATGACTTTATTGTGTCTGTGCACTTATGTATGCAGCATATGCATGTGTATTTACCTGTATGGGTGGTTTTGTTTGCCCCAGACAGCATGCCGACAGAGATGAGCCTGCCTGGTGCAGACGGGGTCAGTAGTAACTGTGCCATCTGTGGCGACAAAGCCACAGGGAAACACTATGGAGCCTCCAGCTGTGATGGCTGTAAAGGCTTCTTCAGACGCTCCATACGCAAGAGCCATGTCTACACCTGCAGGTACAGACAGCAAAAACACACACATAAAACAACACACTTTAAATCATGCCATCATATGTGGAAATTATAAGACACACAGTATGAACACTTACGTGCTCATAAACACGCTTTTGTACCTTTATGATCATGTGCATCTTAACTATTGATAACTTACTATTCAGGCCAGTCATCATGTCATGGCGTGTCACCTCAACTTGTGTTATGTTATAGTACACTATCTCATCACGTCTTGCTCTGTTATATGTAATAAATAGCTATTTATATCATTGTATTTTTTATCATATGCAGATTCAGCAGACAGTGCGTTGTGGATAAAGATAAGAGGAACCAGTGTCGTTTCTGCAGACTCAACAAATGCTTCAGGGCTGGCATGAAAAAAGAAGGTAGGGAAACCTCCCTCTTGCCCCCTGGACAAGAGAGACAGTAGAGAGCACTGAACTGTTACCTCGTGACCATACATGCGTTTTGTTTTCTCCATTTTGAAACTCCACTAAAAGTTTATATGCAGAGATACAAAATAAAAATTCACATTTTTGGGGGGTTATTTGTTTGTTTTTTTAAACAAACACTGAATTTCATAGTGTATTGTCAGTAGTATGTATATATATAGCCTTAAAACTAGCGGCACTGAAGTAAAGGCTGAAGAATCTGAAACCTGCTCCAAGATGGCTGAAATCAGCTCAGCCATAAAATATGCGATAACTTTGTGTATGTGTACGTGTGTGTGTGTGTGTATTTATGAGGGGTATAACCTTGGCACAGAGTTTTATGACACCTAATCATGAGTTATTCAAACATGTTGTTCTGGGTTGCAACTGGTTAACGTTTGACTCCTCTTGCTGATGCCAGCCTGTAATGCTATTTTCCTAAATATTAACTGCCCTAACGTCTGCTGTCATCGTTTGCATTCAGAATCCCCCCCCCCCGACTTCAGCAAATTCTTGAAAGCAGGAAAGTGACTTGAATATTAGCAGGTTTACTGGACATCTACTTGTTTGACAATGAGTTAATTTTTTACAAAAAGTGAACTACAGGAGGTGCTGTCACTTCCCTGTTCATTTTTATTGCTCTTTTCTGTTTCACACACAGAGTAACTTTGGCTGTCTGTTACATTTTAGCTGTACAGAACGAGAGAGACCGGATCAGCTCCCGGAGAAGCATACCTGACTCCCAAGACTTGCCGCCCATCACTATTTTGGCCCAAGCACAATCAATGTCCCAACAGGTGCCAATTTTCCAATTTCCCCACTGATATATGGTTGTGTATGAGCTGATGTTAGCTTTATAAGTCACCACATCATGTGCATGAACCAAGTTATAAATGCACAAGGAAAGCAACAGACTGTGACCCGAAAACCATTATGTTTCCCACCAGATCACTGCAACAGTTGGAATATCAGACATATCCGAGCAGAAGTCGGCCTCTGTTGGGGATGTTTGTGATTCTATGAGACAACAGCTATTGGTGTTGGTGGAATGGGCCAAATATATTCCTACCTTTGGAGAACTGCCACTGGATGATCAGGTAACGGGGCTGTGATGCATGATGGGGTGCAATCTGTGATTATGTGATTGCATTTTTTTCTTTTACATCTCACCTTTGTTCTTAAGTGATGGAACTGTGAGTGATGAGCTTGCTGCTCTAACAAAGGGCTAATTCTGTCAAAGCAGTTTCAGTTTGGATAGAAGAAATATCCTCTTAATCAACACAATGTACTCAGAGGTGATAGAATAATTGAAGCAATGATTAAGTAGAACATTAGAGATGTTATGTAAATTAGCATACAGAGACTGCTTAATTTAGTCTACGACTCTACAAATACAGTATGACCCCTGGGTGATGTATTGAAGGGCAAAAGGGAAGGCAATGTTACATTGTTTGTGATCTTCGTTAAACTGTGTGTGTGTGTGTGTGTGTGTGTGTGTGTGTGTGTTTGTCTCTAGGTGAGCTTGCTCAGGGCTCATGCAGGTGAACACCTCTTGCTCGGGGTTGCCAAAAAGGTCAATGCCATTCAAGGACTTCCTGCTTTTAGGTAAAAGTAGAGCGGCATCTTGTTTCTATGTGGTGCATTCAGGTGGTTCAGCACTGGAGTGTGAAGACTGCTCAGCTGTTGTGTTAGCTGAGACTGATTAACTAAAGCTTTATGTTTCTTTGTAACTTCAAAAGTGTCTCCAGCAAAGGGCATTACTCATTACTGGGGCATGTACCAACATCATACCGTAGGCATATCTGCCAACCACACACAGATTTTGCATTTCTATACGTCTGAGGACCTTCCCGACACACCCCTTCACCATAACCTTGTCTGGAACCCATAAATAAGGCCTGACAAAACTCTACATATACCTTTCAATTACCCTCAACACAACCACTAACTGATGCACTCTGTTTCTGAAGGTAATGGCTGTGTGATCCATAGAAACAGTCCTGAGCCAGAGATCTGTCGGGTCGCCAACCGAGTGCTGGAAGAGCTGGTCCAGCCCTTCCAGGATATTCAAATAGATGACAATGAGTATGCAGCACTCAAGGCTATTGTCTTCTTTGACCCAGGTGATTAAAAAAACAAAACAAAACAAAACAAAAAAATGCTAGTAACCAGTTTACTATTCATAGAGATGAGTGTTTACCCATGTTTTATCCAGCCTGCCCGTGCTTCTCCATGTATGTGTAATTCAAATTTCCAGGGAAATTTTTGAAACAGGGAAAAGCTGTGTTAGGCTGAGGAAACCACTTGGGCAAGATTAGGATAAGATTTGCATTGGTAAAAACATTGGCACAGACTTATGACACCCAATATGTGTTAATGATGTCTAGCGCACGTGTTATGATGTGCTGATTATTTCAAATAAGTATTAATTCAGGGTATAGGACATAATATCTTATTGTCAAGTGGGTAATGCATGACAAAAAAAGATAGTCAGGTAAGACTGAGTAAGAAAACATTATGAATAGTTAAAGACTGAAAATATCTCTCCAGATCCCTCTTTTCCCAACCACTCCCATCCATCTGGTTAAATTTCCCCTCAAAGCTAGATCCCAATCCCTCTCCTATCTCCTTGGCCTAGTGTGACTACAATCCCTGCCCCCATCTTGTGTTACCTGCCCCCCCATCTAAATCCCCTCATCGTGCCTTCATGCCCCAGGTTGACCATAATCATTCCATCAGTTTTACTCATATCCTCAATTCCATCCATGATCTTTTTGCTTTTTTCCTCCTGTCATTGAACCCCTTCCTCCATTCCACCCCACCCTTAATCCACCCTCTCATTTCTACTCTTTGCCTCCCAATGTGCAGATGCAAAGTCTTTGCGGGACCCATCAAAGATCAAGGCCATGCGTCTGCAGGTAGGTCGAGCATTTGACTCTTGTAGCTTAGTGTGGAGCTGCAGTTCTTTTCCATCATGTTCAATTATAATTTCCTATAAACAGTTTTAAGGCTTGATTTTCAAACAGCATTATTATCACTGTTATACATTTTATTTTGCACTTATATTGCAAATAATATACCATTCATCTTCAAGGACAAGAGCAGTTTGCTTTCACTGATTGAGACTTTGCCTTGTGTGTGTGCAGGTCCAGATGAGTCTGGAGGACTACATTAATGATCGTCAGTATGACTCCAGGGGTCGTTTTGGTGAGCTGTTACTCCTTCTCCCCACCCTGCAGAGCATTACCTGGCAGATGATCGAACAGCTCCAGCTGATTAAGCTCTGTGGCCTGGCCAAGATAGACAACCTGCTGCACGAGATGCTGCTGGGAGGTGAGACCGGGTCTATGTCTGTGCTTGTAAATCTGCATTTAGGGTAACGTATACCAGTGGAGCTCCTCAGTGATAAATGTGTGGAACTGTATAAGTATGAAGCAATGTAAAAAACAAAAAGTATACATATACAGCAAAGTTTTCTTGGATATATAAATGGGTAAAAAGTTAGGGATTTTGCAGAAAGATGGTATACCTTTGTATAATCCACATATATATTAGGCAAAACCAAAATAGACAACTTGCTAGATGAGATGCTGCTAGGTGACATCTGCAAACATATCTTAATGTGTATAAATAAGGACGTCTGTAGTTAAAGGTAGAATGCATCAAAAAATATGCTAGGCAGGGCCATGACAGACAACTCAAGCACAAGATGAGGAGGGGAAATAAAGTCATAAATAAAGGAAAAAAGTCATCTCCAAAAATGTCTTCCATTCTTCGCCATACATACTAAAAACAACTCCAGAATATGACAACCTGACTTAGAAGACCGTGTACAGAAAGAGCTGTGTGTGTTTTATTTTTCAGCATCCTGTAGGAATGTGGAACTAACAACAAAAAAACCCTGCTATTCAAATACTGAGATGATATTTTTAGTAATGTGAATGTGCAAGTGATGAAACATAATGATGCCAACATACATATACACAGTTTGAAACCAACAAACAAGCCAACCAAACCAAACAATTAAGAAAATGAAATGACATGATGTCTCTCTACATCTTATAAAAAGATTAAAGAATTACAGGTTATTTGAGTGACACTGATACATGAGCATGTTCCAGAGCTGCTTATGTAGATTTCTCAGCTTTTGAAATGAAGTTATGGAGGCCTGTCTCAATTACTGTATAAAACATGCACACATGTAGATACGCTTTTGAAGGCACAGACTGACTAAAATCAGCATACATTTCTTAAACTCAACTCACTCAATTAATTAAAAGTCCCAAAACAGGCATTGTTCTTGCACTATTGTAACCCCCCCTGCCCCAAAATTATGCGAAGTCAACTACCCATTGTTCTTTTTGGTCTAATGAGGGCTTGTTAGGTGAAATGCCACCATGTGCATGAAAAAATCTGTTGTTTTGGAGGATTTCATTATGCGTGTTAGCCCTTAAATGTCACCTGATTAAATAAAAAAAATCTAGATGAGATGCAGAACAAAAATCAGCTGTAACTGTACAACAACAACCTGCTGTCAGTTGGTTACAACTACAACACTATCTGACTATCTGTGTAATGTGTTCAGGCCTTACGTCAGAGCCCACAAACCTGCACCACCCAGTACACACCCAGCTGGCCCAGGACCCTGTGACCGGACACACACTTGTCATCAGCACCATGCCTGTCACTCACACTCCGCTGATAGGTAAGAGCCACGTACCAGACATGCATACTATCACACAATCCCTCAGACAAGCACAAGCCCTCTGACACACACACACACACACACACACACACACACACACACACACACACACACACACACACACACACACACACACACACACACAAATCACATCAATGCAAAGTTGATATAATTTATCTCTTCTCATGAAATGTCACAAAACTGTGTGACAGATGTGTTTCCATTAATTTAGCTGAAACTAATAAACAGGCATCCTGAATGTGAAAAATATATCATATCAATATATCAATGCAACATTTACAAGAATTGATGAGTATTGGCCATGCTGTATGCTTTCATTTAAAAATAAAAAATGCATTTGGCAATATTACACCACCTAATGGCCACACAAGATTGATGTGAACTGTATCTATAAAGCAGCAGCTGTAGATGTAACATGTACTGTGGACCACAGTGGATACATTTTACAATTGCACATACAATCATTGCTGTCCCCAACCCACACAAAAACATGTTCATTAGCAAAATGAAATAACTAATGACTCTATGTGCCTGCCTGTCTTCCTGTAGCCTCTCCAGACACTCCCATCCCATCGCCCCCTCAGGGTCCTGCCCCAGAGAAGTACAAACCCTTTCCCCAGCCTCTTTGTCCTCCAGACAGCCCCTCGCCTTCCACACAGATAGATCTCTGACTTCTCCCTCTCTATCATAGGCTGACATAGGATCAGTTTCCCTTTCCCCTGCTCATCATCCCAGCTGTGGTATAAAAATTGTGAAAGAAAATCCCTGTTCAGTGTATGTGGTTAGACTTTACCCTGTTTTTTTTTTTGACCGTCTTGCTTGATTGGGCATAAACGTCACGAAAATGCTGTGAGTCCCTACGGTTCTTTATGTACAGTCTATCACTCGTGCATGTCAAATGAGAGTTCTGAGTAATTCTGTGTAAATGTACGAAATATCATCTAATCATGAATTTCATAGGCAACAGCAATGGAAAAACTGATGGCTTACAGACAACACATTACAGCTGGCCATCAAATAGAAATGTAATACTTTGTTTTGTTTATACATCAGTATCGGAATGTGTTCTAGAGAACTTCAGAAATGTTTTTGCTGATTTTCAGGATTTAGTTTTGTTGTCTTAACACACATAAATATTATTAATGTACATGTATTCAGCAGCTAAACATAATATAATGGGTTACAATAGTTTGTGGCCAAGATCAACATGATAATTATAATAATAATATAATTTATAAATAGTTAATAAAGACCTCATGTTAAATGCAAAAAGAATGTGGAAAAATTTTAATATTTGAATAACTTACTGTATATAGTCGAATGGATGAAAGAAAATATTCAGATCCTTTATTCAATTTCTAGAATTAACTGTTTATTTTTTATTTTGTGTTGATAATGTGAACATTTCTTCATTTATACAGTATATTGATTAAAAATCCATTTTGAATAATGTTTGAGTATTTTATTTGAAATGTACTCATTGAATGTGGATTTATTAAAATGCATAATATACATACAGTGAGAGACTCACAAAAGTCACAGTAGCCCCCTCTTGCTGTCAAGAGAAGAAATACAAAAGAGTCCTAAATGCAAATAAGCTACTTATTGTATATGTTGCATATGTTTGCATCAGTACACCACATGTACAGTATACTTTTAGTATATATATATATTATTTATTCTCTCTTTTTTTTAACTGGGAAAGGTAAAGCGTTAGATGGAAATAGAGAAATTCCTTTTCAATTCAACATTTATCTGGTACAGTAACAGCAAATCATTTCAGTAGATACTGCTAGAAAAATGGAAATTGACATTTTTTTCATATTAGATCCTGAAAAGAAAACAATATAGACAGACAGATGATGATAAATTGACAGAATGTATTTCAATATGGTCTGCGCACATGGAAGAATAAAAGAGTGTGGTTTGTCCATTACTTCCTTCATGGAAGTCATCATGCTCCCCCGCAGTTCCATTGGTCAGGGGTACACAGTTCGTATCCAAAGCTTTATTGGCAAACTATTGAGACTGCAATGCTGGATGATGCTGCTCATCTAAAATCAAACTAGTTTCCCCCACCGTCCATCTGAGAACAATGTAAAATGATAATTTAAACTGAAACTGAGCTGTACTGGGGCCAACTGTATTTTTAAATCTGGTATTTTGCTTATGTCCGTCCACAGACAATCATTTTCTTGGGGTTTATGTGTATGTGTGAGCATTCATGTGCAGTGGATGAGACCAGGAAATAAAGCTGAGAGCTCTTATGCTCTGTATATTGTTGTGCGACTCAGAGAAAACACTCAGGTTATTTATGGCATAGAAGATGATGCTGTCTAGAATCAACATGGCCAAATCCTCCTATCAACTCCATAATGGACAAGCTACCTGGCTTAGGTTAAAGCAACACCACCCACAACGGGAGGATGTGTGTATATATATATACTGTGTGTGTGTGTGTTTGTGTGTGTGTGTGTGTGTGCTCCTACCTGCAATTTATTTATAAAAGTGCCAGTGCATGTGTGTAGCATTCTATATGTGTGTTTTTGGAAGTGTGTGCATGTGTGTGTACCCTTGGAGCTTTAATCAGACGCCTATAGTGAGGAGTTGTGGGGGCCTTGTCTCTTTCTTTTTCCTCAGATAAAACTCTGTGTTAGCATGCCAGTCACATATCTCATCTGAGACGTACCGCTCCCCTCCCCACACCTCACCACTGCCCACACTGACAGCACCCTATTACACACCAGTATGACGCTCGCTCCACCTGAGGAGGGTGATGAGAGGGAGCTATAGAGAGATGGAGGAGCAATAGATGGACAGGAAAACTAAAAAAAAAAAGTCTTTTGTTATTTAATTGCATCTTAGTTTGACTAGTTTGGTAATTAAGGCTGTCATTTTCAAAATGAGCCCATTAAATCAGCCGCTTTTTTGTGTATTGTTTACTTTTCTCACACACTTGTGAATTTTGACAAATGGTGAAAAGATACTTCAAAGGAATATAAATAATAAAGAGGTGCTTATTTGTTATGAGACACTTGAAAAAATAATTTACTCTCAATTGCTAAATGAACATACATTGATGATGAAATGTGTTGTTCACTAACAAAAGTAAGTGTACTATTAATACAGAGCTGTCAGGGTAGCGGTTAACTTCCTTTTCACATATATTTATTTTATAATTATTAAAATCTGTTTACAATTTGCAAGTTGGACATGGACCCTCAAACAGATATATCCATCCATCCTTCCAGCCATCATCCTTTAGTAACCACTAGATGGCAGTACAAGTCTGTCGTTTCACAACAGACAAATTGCTTTTTAATGGCTGTTATCAATGTACTATACCCTAATAAAAAATGGGGGGAAAAATTAAATGTAATCCAAAAAACCTTTAATCTTGTTTTAATGCCACCAGCATCACTTACTTATTTAGTGGCAGCATTTAAGATGGCACCCAGTATATAGCCATCATTTTATTTCATATGTTGTCAACAAAAGTGAGAAACACACTGACATATGTTTCATGTTGTTTTTAATATTTATAATATGGCTATTTGCATCAGCATCATCTTAACACTCCCATTAAAAATGTTACTCTTAAAGTGTCTTAGATTATTCAAAGAACAAATATAAATTTAAAGAGAGCATGTTTCAGATTTTGTAAATCCATCTTAAATGTGCTGTTTCCAATCTGTTTAAATAGATTTTTTTGGTCTCAAAGTAGTCATAAAATATTGCAAAGTCACACATGTATGCCCCATGCAGGGGAATATTGGTACAGTTTGAAATGAATGGCATGTGTCAGTGATCCCAGATTAGAGCCGGAGATTGCAGACTATCATTCCTCACCAGTGCATTTACCCATAATTCTCCTCTGTCTGTAACATGTCCGATGATTTCTCCTCTAGGAGACAAGGTAAGGCTGTATGAATCTCTGCCTCCAACTCTGGAATGAATTTAAAACCTCTTCTGAGAGATTTTCTGTGTCTCCATCCTGCGACTGTGTGTGTGTTGCATGCATGTGTGGTTTCTGATTATACCACAGCATGGGTGAAGGGAAGGAAAATACAGTGACAGCTTCATTTCCAAAGCTGAGTTCACATAAATGAGGGATTAAAGCGAGCAAGCAAGAGGGTTAAGGCTCACCTCGGCCTTCAATGACAGCTTTCCCTCCTTATAATCACTCTCTTCCTCTCTCTGTTTGTCTCCTTCTGTCTCACCACTCTTCCTGTCTCCAGCTTTATTTTTGTCTCACTTTTTCGTATACTTTTATTCTCTCATTCCCTGTTTAGGTTATCTGTTTTGTCGTGCTGATGCTCATTTTGCTGGCAGAGATAATACACACACAGATAAAAATTTAAAAAATGCATACTGTACTGCTGGTAACACACACACACACACACACACACACACACACACATGCTGGGTGTGCTCTACATCATGATGATGGGGACCAGGTTAAGGCAATCAAACTAGAGGTTAGGGCCAGGGTAGTGTGTGTGTTGTGTGTGTGTGTGTGTGTGTGTCTGTGTTTGGGGTACATTAGGGAAATGAAAAGGGGTGGACCACTGATGGCTTTTGAGATGCAGACTTGTTAGAATAAAGGAATATAAAAAAGACAGGAGACAGAGGAGATGACAGGGTGGATGATAAGAGGAGTAGTGCAGTAATGAAAACGGTCCTCTGTACCCTGAGATTACATGGGGAATGAGATTGGAGAGAGAAAGAGAAAGAGACAGAGAAAGAGAGACTGGGGGATCGTGATGGGGGAAATGGGTGAGCAGGGAGGGAAAGAATGGAGAAAGATGGAGACTCATTTATGAGGAACCATGGTGAGAGCCAGGTGGAACAGACATGGTTCTGGTGTGAAAAGAAAAAATGAAGAAAAAGAAGAAGAAGAAGAAAAAGAAGAAGAAGATGAAGAGTGGAGGTATTACAACACAGGACGAAGCAGCCCCACTCTGAATGATAAGTGTCTCACGCACTGCGGGTTATGGGAAGTTCACACAAACAAATGACTCCCATTTGCCAGAGGCGAGGGACACAATTGAGAAAGAAGGGGCGAGAGAGAAAAGGAGGAGAAGAAGAGAGAAGGGAGAAGAAGGAGGGAGAGGTCTAAATACTAGAGCTGTGATTTCAGATAACTCCATCTGCATTGAGTAAATGATTACCTTTTTACCCCTCTAATGTTTTCACAGGTTCGCAGCATAAACGAAAGCACCCTCAATCCAAAGGATATTAGGAACCCTGTAGTGAAGTGCAGTAAAACTCTGTGCTTGGTACCTTAAATTACAGGGCGCCTATGGACCTTGGTCAATAACACTAAATGTATTGCAAATTGTAGCGTGTAGGTGGGTTATGTTTTGCACCATAAGAGGTGATATCAAACAGTGATAAGGGTGCATGAATACTGCCCTTATTTATACACTAAGCAGCATGGCATCAAAGTTAAGTATGGCTGAATACCTCTCTTTGAAAATGCCTTCACTGTAGTTGTTTTTGACCATGTGACATTCAGGCAAAGAGACTGCAGATTTTTATTCTACCCAAACAAGTAGCTGATTTTGCTTCTTACTCCCACTTTTCTGGTGGGTTTCATGTGTGTTTTTCAGTTAAATGAGAGGCTTTAGTATTTCGTTCGAAGGATGACTTACATACTCAAAGGGGCCTCCTATTAAGAGCATTGAGCAGCAGCCCCAGTAGCTTCAGTTTGACAGGATTGGATACACTGGGTACTTCAGAGGTCTAACCTGCGACCAGTTTATGTCACATTTCTTTTTAGTAAATTAACAAGACTAAGAGTCCACGGCTTCTGTGAGGCTGTGCCTAAGCACAGCACACATGCTGATTTTCAATTTCAATTTGAAACTGAAAATGACCATTTACTATTTAACACTAAACACAAAATGCAGCTGAGACTGATGGGAATGTCATCAGGTTTTTACTAGGTATTTGGTCAT